AAAGAGGGAAAGCGACAGTCTGAATAGCAAGCAAGGCACTCAGAGCTGCTGAGTTCTGAATGCACTAAAATAAAAAAAAAAAAAAGACAGATCAGTGCACTAGGGGCTGTTTGAGCGTTCAAGTCCAACCACAATTAACCTTGTGAATCTGTACTGGGCTGACCAGAATGGTGAGCGTTTTATCACAGACATATAATTAGCACGTATCAGTGACGAGGATGAAAACCCTTTGCATGGCAAACGACGCATGCAAGATGGCAGACAAGGCAGCCTTTACAATTCCAGAGTGTTAAATGTCCATCCATTTACAGCGTTGGGCAAAGGTGCGGTCAAGAAGGAGGTAGCACAAATGATCCCAGGCAGTAGCAGAGATGTGGACACTTCTCTGGCACACAGGCAGTATCTTGCAGCCCAGCGAGTGCCGAGCTGGGGACGGTGAATACGCTTTCTACATCCCTCTCTTGGGGAGGGTACCTAGATGCAAGTGGAGATGACATCTGCTATGTGTGTGCATAAGGGGATAGCCTGGTATAGATGAGTACAACCTATTTAACTCAAGATTTCTCACGAGTGGTACCGCAAGAGTGGCTTACAAATAAGAATATTAGATGTGTTACAGAGAGACTTTACTATCTGACATTGTGGTTTGTGAGCATTAAATCTTCTGAAGTTCCCATACCACAGAAACTGACAAAAAACAGCCACAGAAGCTCCCTTCCATTGGTCGACTTTGATGCACTAACACTGCATTGGCCAATCCACTTCCATTAAAAACTTCCAAGCATCGATTCCTATTGTTCTACCACCGACAAGCCTCTATTAGACTTTTGATCTTTGACAAAATGTAAGGGCCGGTCAGCACTGGGAACTTACATTGGCATAGCTTTGTCGTTCAGGGGGTGGATTTTTCACACCTGAGAGACGTAACCATGCCAACCTAACCCCCGGTGTAGACAATGAGGTCGACGAAAGAATTCTCCTGTCCACCTCACACCATCTCCTCCTGGGGAGGTGGATTTCCCTATGGCAACGGGAGAACCCTTCCCGTCGCTGTAGTGAGCATCTACCCTGAAGCGCTGAAACTGTGCTGCTGTAGTGTTCTAAGTGTAGACACACCCTTCGAAGGACAACAGTCCTGGCCACAAGCAGAGGGGAGAGGGAAGGCACTAGACAAAGAACCACTGAACGTCCAATGAACAGGTAGCTTAGCACATGCATATCTTCTAAGCGAAGTGGGGCAGAGTTGCACCCCATCCATTTGGGGCATTAGAAGGCTACTTAATAAGGGCTGCCTTTTGCACCCTAGGTTTCCCTTGGTACCTGTCCATATATTCGATTGGGTTTCTTCCCTCGGCAGCTGAGCAGGGCCCATCGCTTGTACTTCACATTGCAGACGTGGATGTCATTGCCATTGCTCTCCCCAAATGGGATCCCGGTGCCGCCAAATACCAACAGGTTGTTCCCATGCAACACAACTAGGAAAAAGGAGCACAGGTTTGGGTCACGTGCCGCGCCGGGAGAACAGAAAGGGACTGCGCTATTATTGTCTCTGTTGAGAGGACGAAGAGCTAACATTTCAGGCATGCGTTTAGGGAAGGCAGAATTGAGTGCTCGTCACCTGCAGATCTCGGAGTGCTGCACAGGAGAAAGGTAAGGAGGCTATGGTGACAGGGGCCTACAATTTCAAGGGCAGCTAGTGCTTTGGGAGGTCAATTTTTGGATGCCTTAAGAGGGCTGATTTTCAGCAAGCGCTGGGCACCAGTCCTCTGAAAATCACGCCCTGTCAAGCTGCCTCAAGTTGGGCACCCAGAAATCACTCCTCATTTTAGATTTATGGCAGGCCCTTTAGGAAGCAGGTGGGTAAGATGAAAGAGGGCGACAGTACTAGTGACCTGCCCACAGACACACAGCAAGTCCGTGGGAGAGTCAAAACAGAGCACAGCTCTCTCGCTTCTCTCTCTCGTGCTCTAGTTACACCACGTGGTCTTTACACAGATGGATCTGCACAGCACTAGGGCATTCCGCTAGAACAGATTTCACACATGGTAACTGAATTCCCGTACTCACGTGACATGGATGCTAGTTCTCTAGGCATGTAGCCCTCGGTGCCCATTTGATGCCATGCGCCTGTAGCAAAGTTATATCGCCAAAGTTCCCTGAAGAGAGGGTAGTCTTCATTCTCTGGCCCGCCAGACTCATCGTAGTCCGGGTTATACCCTCCGAACACGTACAGGTTGGCGTTATCTGCTACACAACGATGGCCGCTCCTTGCTGGTGGGGCTCGGTGACCTGCAGCAGGAGGAAGTTATTTTTACTAAGCATACACAGAGTGGAGAAAAGCAGGGTCAGCAAGATTTGGGGAGCCAAGGAAGGAAGGAGCTAGGTTTGAACATTTTGGGGGGAATCAAAGGCGGACGCTGCAGTGGATGAAATTTCAGCTTCCAACTGGAACAGCTAGAGTTAAACGGCAATTTTTATTATTTTTTTGTGTGCATGCACATGCTAAGGAGTTGATATTTCCATTACGAGAAGTTCCGTCTCTCTGCAAAGGTCTTCTCTCAACACCTTGTCTTCAAGGGCCTGCATGTTACACCTCATCCTAGACTACCCTATTCGTCCAATCAGACCTTGCCTATTCAGATGCTCTGTTATACATCGGACATCCTCCATGGTCTTTCAAATCCTTCCTCGGAGCTCCCTTTTTCGGGTTTCATCCCGGACACTGTCCCCAAAGGGTTATATTAAAATGCTGAGAGGGAACAGTGAACATGCCATGGTTTAGCCTCACTTCTTCTTTAATTCCTACACTACCCTTTATCGTTAGCTCCTGCGGGGCTGTGTCTAGATTGCAAGCTTTCAGGCAGGGACTTGTCGCTTGTGTGTGTCTGTGATGTCGCTTGTGTGTGTCTGGACAGCACCTTGCACATCTATGGAACTAAGTTAAACAGTAGCCAATTAAGCTTCAGAACAGCACAGTAACAATCTCCTGATAGACCAACACAAAGGCCTTAATACTGCCTGGAGCAGAGTAGGGAACCCAAGAGAGAACACAGGCTGCATGAGAGGGTAGGCAATTGACACGTACCTCCCCAAATGGAAGATCTTCGCGTGCCTGCTCCTTCCCTAGAGCAGAAGGTAAAAGGGCAGGGTGCGGGCAAATCCAAGATGACCCCACATACTGAAGATCATGCTGGTGCCAAATAAAATTTGGATCTACATGCTCTGCGTAGGCCTCGTTCCTACTACTAGGCAGCAACAACTTTGCCACCACGCAGCAGAACTGTCATTAACGCCGGTTCAGAGTCACTCTCCTGTGCTCCCCCTTTTGCCCTTGTGCATCACTCCACGCTCACACGGAAGGGAACCCCAGCACAGGACAACACATGAATCCCTCTCAGATTAGGGGCTAAAATGTGGGGGTGAGGAGGGATAGCACCAAACAGAATAAGCTCGGTGGCAGAGACAGCAGCAATTTTACGTCTTCCTGATAGATTAAAGACCACAGGCTAAGACCTGGGACAGCCACATTCTTACTGGAGAGTGACACCTGAAATCGTCACTGCCCATGGACAAGCGATCAGAACATAACGCTCAGCTTGTTTTAGTTCAATACACACGGAGAATCAGGCCCAGTCTTGCAGCTATGACCAGACAGGATGCTTCCTCTTCATGACCTGGAGCCACAGACGATGTGGTTAAAATAGCCAGTTGTGCTTCTCTAACTCCACCATTTTCCTGAAATGCCCATTGGTAAGCATCGCCATCTGCTGCTTTCAAAACATCCCCAGAGCCACCTGTCTCTAGGACCTGGTCTACACTGGGGGGGGGAGGGGGGTAATCCCTAGAATTACAAGAATAGCGTAGCTGAAGTCGACGTATCTTAGTTCGACTTTCCTCGCGTCCTCATGGCGTGGGATCGACGGCCGCTGCTCCCCCGTCGACTCCGCTTCCGCCTCTCGCCACGGTGGAGTGGCAAAGAGATCGGGGATCGATTTATCGCGTCTACACTAGACGCAATAAATCGATCCCCAATAGATCGATCACTACCCGCCGATCCGGTGGGTAGTGAAGACGTATCCTAGGAAAGCTAACAGCAGAAAGAGTTTCCCAGGAGCCCCTCTTCCAACATCACTCTGGATAAGCAAAGGGCTGTTACTCAGGGAAAAGACTTTTATTTGCATTTCTAACTCAGTGGACCAGTTTATTCCAGCAGTCAGATGTTCTGGAGCTGAACATACAAGAACCACACCCATATAAGAGCCAAGTCCCAGCGTGCTGAAACTAGTATAGGCAGTGAAGATAGCATCACCTATAGCTCAGATTGCCTGACACTTTCCTTTATAAATAAGAAAACCAGGGTCTGATAACTTTACTTAATTTTAGCCATTCAAGTTGAAATTTCCCACGCTAGGTGTTCGCCTCTGGGCTTTTCTATATGTAAGTTTCAGCTAGAACAGTTCAGCTGTTTCCAAGAAAAAGAGTAGGGGAAGTGTTTGATCCTTAAAAAAAAAAAATTCTTCCAGCCATCGCTGAGAAGCTGTAGTGCCGCCATGCTTTTGGCACAGGGAGATGACGTTTGGCAGGAGGGTCACCCTGGGGTCAAGCATGTGCCTTTTTCCGTGCCTGTGAGAATTTGCCCAAATCTGACCAAGTTAAACTGAAAAAACATCAGTTCACACATGCTCAGAGAGTCAGAGTTTAGCAGCTAAATTCCCCAAACATTCTTTACTGAAGATGCTCCATCTGTGGGCTGAACTTTTCTAGCAGCTTCTAGGAAATTTTGCAATTTTGGCCTTAATCTCTCAGTTTCCCACATGCAAAATGGGAATGTCACCATGTAATCTCACAAGAGCATCATGAGGATATAAGCACTAATGAAGTTGAAACACAAATACTATGGGGAGACCGACACAGAAATGCCCAAGAGGAAATTACTAATTTTGTATTCAGTGCAGGTTTTGGATGGTGTACAGTAAATGAGACCGGGGGCCTGATACTGAATATGGAGAGTAAAGAGAAACACTG